ACCTTAAACCCCAACAAACCCTAAACCTTAAGCCCTAACAAAGACTAACAAACCCGTACCCGTAACAAACCCTGGAGCTTAAACCCCAACAAACCCTAAACCCTAAAACCCCAACAAACCCTAAACCCTAAAACCCTAAACCCTAAAATCCTAAAACCCTAAACCCTAAACCCTAACACCCTCAAACATAAATATGCCTTGGCTTCGGCTTCGATGACCTTCGACTCCAAGCTTGCGATGGTGCCTGCAACCAAAGAACGCCTAAGGGTCCTTTACCTTGAAATAAGGGTTCCATAAAGGGTTCCTTTATTTATTCTGTTAAGGGCTTCATAAGGGTACCATACGGGTACCATAAGGGTTCTGTAGATTGGAAGTTTAGAGTCTAGGGTTTTAGGGTTGTGGGCTGTAGGGGTTGGTCCTTGGGGTAGTTATGCAGGTTACTATTTTGGAGCTATATGACTAGGCACTTGGTCAAAAGGGGCTTAGGTTTGAGGGTTTCGGTTTAGGGCATAAGGGGGTTGCGTTCGGGGTTGATTGTTGAGGAAGCCTGGAGAATATCTCCCTGAATGCACAACACTACGTGGACGATCTTTTGGACTTAGGAAATAGCCACGGGGCTTATTTCCGGTGCGATACGGGGACACGATGTTCGCCTTGTACGCCGAACCGTCAAAACCTAAACCCTGCATGTAACCTCCCAAACCCTACGGCATAGCTGAAACAGTAGGTTTTTGGATCAGCAGATAAACGCTACACCGTAAGCCAAAACTTCAAGCCCAACACCCCAAACCCTGAACCCTTAAACCCTTGAGAGCCGTCATGCCCTGAATAAACCCTCATACCCTAAACCCTTGCAGCCTTAAGTTAGGAACCCGAAAAGGACATAAGCATAAGCATGTTAAAAGGATATATGCCTACCTTATGGGGCTTCATTCTAAGGGGGGTTTATATGGGATGTCCCTATCCTAATTTCTGCTTCTGTGCTTTTTTGGGGCCCTATGAAGCCCCTAAACCCGAAAGTTGCCCCTAAACCCTAACCCTAAATCCTAAACCCTAAACCCTAAACCCTACCATATTAAGCCCCTAAACCCGAAAGCCGAAGCCTGTCTGGATAGCGGCATCCAGCTCCTCGCGATCGGCTGCCGTCTGCTCGGCAAGCAATTGCCGGGCCAAGGCAACCTCGCAGCACATATTGTTGCTTTTTTTGGGTTTAGGGTTTGGGGTTTAGGGCTTAGCGGGTTTAGGGTTTCGAGCTTAGGGTTTAGGGGGCGTCACCATGATGGAGAGTTCTGATATTCGGGTTCTGGGTTTTTTTTTGGGGGGGTGCGACGCCCTGAACCTCTTGCGGCTTAGGGATGGAAGGTAGTAGGTAGTTGAGATCACGGGGGTTAGGGCTTGAATTGAGATGCAAGGATTGAAAGTTTCTGTTCCAGCATCGCTCTGAATTTCACATGGCATATGACACTGGCTACACCAAACCCCAAGGCCAAGTAACGAAGGCTGATCAAGGCCGATGACCTAACTGTACAGTATAATCCTAGTTGTGTTTCGCGTTGCAGAATAATAGAAATACGGTATACTGTTACATACTGGCTGTTCTGCCCGCTATACTAGTTGTAGTGATTCCAGCTACAGAACACGCGAGAACACGCAGCCCTGAACACCTATGCGAGCTGTGTAAACTCCCAACACCGAAAAAGGGACAACTCATGCTCAACACAAACCAAATTTAAGCTAAAAAACGCTTGCTAGCCCAAACCTCCTCCCGCCTCAACCAAAGAAAGCACAAACAACAACACAAACAAGCACAAAGACATGTATCATTGTAGGTATAGAATGGCATAAGGAGATTCATGTGTGTATATATATTTATTTATTTATTTACTTTTCTATTTCTCGATTTACTTATCTGTTTATACTTATATTTACATTTATCTACATAACTGTCCAAGAAGCTGTGGAACTTCTGAGTCCGACATGAGCGGCGCCATCCAACGCAGACTTCAGCTCCTGGGGCACCTTGCCCTCCTGAGTTCTCACGTCGCCAAGGGAAGAGGGTTTAGGGTTTAGGGGTTTTGGGTTTAGGGGCCATTTAGGGGTTTTGGGTTCAGGGGTTTTCCTGAGGATGCAGGGGGGCAAGGCTTCGAAGGCTCCGAAGGTGAGGACGAAGGGGGCTTCGAAGGCTTCGAAAGTGAGTTCTCAAGTCGCGAAGTTGAGGCTTCAGGGTTTAGGGGTTTAGGGTTTAGGGTTTAGGGGTTTAGGGGTTTAGAGTTTAGTGTTTAGGGGTTTAGGGTTTGGGGTTTAGGGGTTTAGGGGTTTAGAGTTTAGGGTTTAGGGGTTTAGAGTTTAGAGTATAGGGTTTGGGGCTTAGGGTTTAGG